TGTTGTTGTTTTATCTGCCCAGTTATTTTATATGAAGATTTATTGTATTTTGAATAATAACTGTAACTAACTCTGCTTTCATTAAAAGGTAATATTCTGTAGTTCAGCGGGAATTTTGTAACCTGAAGTTGTGACTTGTCTGTAATGACCTTTGCGGTAAATAAGACAGAGTTCTGGCTGCTTTCTTTTTATCGGCCACCTTCATTAGTTGAGCTCCAGATTGGAGGGCCTGAAGACCCCACCATTCACAAGAGAGAGACTTCCTGCCGCCGTGCTTCTAACCTAGCAAACGTGAGGCGTGTTATTTACACAGTAGTTCTTCATTACACAGGCACAAACACAAATGGATTTTAGTGAAGGAAAGTGGTTAAGTCTAGCATATTTTTGCAAAGGGTAACTTATCAAGGGTTTTACTTCCTCCAGTAGATGGATGCATTTTCCAAGAGTGTTTTATCAAGGCCCTACTATAAGATAGTAGTTCTAAAACATTATTTATCTAGTAATAAATTAAAAATTTAAGCTGTTTGTGTTATTCTGACACCACAAGGAAAACTTTTGTAATTCCATTTCACCTCTGTTATATTTATTGTTTTCTCTGCCTTCATTCGTAAGTACGACAGACTGAATTTGTTTACATGGAAATAAGATTTTTTTCCATTCATCTACTTGAAATATGTTTCAAAAATTCACCTTATGTCACACTACAGAATTAGAGCTTGAGTAGAATCATAAGTTCAGAAAAAAAAAAAAAAGTGGCCCACTTAGTTTAGCTCCAGATAGCCGTTCACAAAAGATTGGTTAGAATCTTCTAAGTATATACAGATATTCACATTTAGAGTCTGATTATGATTCTTTTTCTCTCTCATACTCCCTCCTCTTTCTCCCTCCCTCTTTCTCTCAATAATAGTTTAAAATTATGACCATCACAAGTGGTGTGTGTTAATACTTTCTTAGCATAGCCTGGACTGTTAAAGAGTCATTTTTTTTTCTTATGAAATCCTGGTAGAGGACCCCATGGCTGACTCTAGAGCTGAGGCAGAGAAAATACAAGATGATCCTGGAGTAGTATCTTTTGTTGCCGGAAATGCTAAAGATAAGTAAGTGAAAGTGGAGGCAATTAAAAGGACATAATAGGAACCAACTTGAGAGAGTTCCCAGTGGCTGAAACTGGAGCATTTTGAGCAAGAAAATAAATGACAATAGTATTTTATTATAAGCCAAAGAATAAAATAAATATCCATGAGTTCTTCATACAAACAAGCAAATAAATCAATGAGGGAAAAGGGACAGATCTTCCTTACAGAAGAAGTCCAGATAAAAAATGTAGAAGGAATGGAGAAAATAGAAACTTGCATTAGAACACCACAGTGATAGTTGCTGCAGGCAGGGTTCACGGATGAATGCTAAAATTAATGAGCGAAACTTTAAGAAGCGAAGGTATATTGTATAGCCTTAAAATCTCTCTCCCAGGAAATGTATTGATTTCTCTGGTGGTTTTAATAAATGTCCACAAATTCTTTGGTACCCTTCCTTCCAGGAAGTGGCTTAATTCCCTTCTCCTTGGGTGAGGCTGGACATAGTGACTTGTAACTAATGAGCATGGACGGGGGAAGATGATAGCTTTACCACAGAGGAACCTGGCAGATACCATAGCCAAGTGATCAGGGTTACCACCACCAGGAAGAAACCGTGTTGATCTCATCTTCCCCCAGATATTACACAGTGAGATGGGCACTTCACCTCTCTAACATTCTTTCCCCAAGTTTATAACCTCAGTCTAATCGTGAGAAGACATCAGACAGTCCCAAATTGAGGAACATTCTACAATATATCTGACTAGCACTTTTCAAAAGTATCAAGAAAGGGCTAAGAAACTGTCACAGATCAGAAGAGGCTAAGCAGACTTAATAATTAAGTGCAGTGCCATTTCCTCAATTGGATCCTGGCGAAGTTAAAGACGTTAGTGGAAAACAGATGATGCCTGAATCAAGTGTGTCGCTTAGCTGATTGTGTTGTACCAGTGTTAATTTCTTAGAGTTGATAAACGTGCCATATAAAGTATGAACATGAGGGCAAGTTGGGTGATGGGAATACTGGAACTCTCTACTATCTGTGCAACTTTTCTGTGGATCTAAAATTATTTCAATATTAAAAGTTTTAAAAAACCCTACTTACTGATACCTTCTCAATCTAAGGATATTTTTTAAAGTGTCTCCAGAGCAGATTAGTTCAGAGAAATCGCCTTCCCCCAGGCCTCTGTAAATCCCTCTGTGAAAGAAAGAAGAGCTCTGGGTAACACAACAGCCCTCCCGGAGCAGGGACAGTAAATTCTAGAGACTTGCGTCCCACCACTAGACACAGAAATGCATCTTTGCTTGCTCTGTGCAGGTCGGTTCAGCCAACACTGAGGGTTTGCCTTTTGTGACTTGGTGGTGTGGCCAGCATTTGGGTTACAAAACGTATTCTGTAAAAAAAAAAAAAAAGTGCAGAGGGGAGCAGCCGTGCTTCTGCCTACCTCTCGTTTTGGGCCCTTCATTCAGGTATTATCGTTGACCTGCTAATCGAAAATCTTCAGAGGGACTAGACCAGTCTCTTAACCCCAGGTTATCAGTAGATTCAGATTCAAATGGTATAACGAGTGTGTGGTACTCAGTAAGAAGGATATGTGAAAAAAACACATATTCTATATAAAATACACTGTATTTTCTCTTTCTCTTCTTTTTTCCAAAAATAGTAAAACCTCAATAAGTCATTGTAATTATGGGTACAGATGTGAAATCCTGATTTATAAATATTTTATTCTTACTACTTTCAAAGTCTCATTAACTAAAACTAGGATAACAGGGCTGATTATAGAAGGCCTAACCAGATCCTGTTTTAGTAAATGACAATATGTGATCGGCTGGGGATGATTATTGTCATAGAAACAAATTAGAATTTGGATATTAAATTAAACTCCTCCCCAGTATGCCAATCATTCTCTCGATCTGACCATTAGTGAAAACTGCCTTTAGTTTGTACACATGTGAGAGGTATTGTTTTTATCAGTTAAATATATTTTATTGCCTCACCAGATGAGTGCCTTGTGGGGTGTCTCTCTTGGGAATAAAACTGGTGTGATCAGCGAAGAACAGCAGACTGTTCTTGAACATGGCAGTATGGTTAGGTTGGCACTATGGCAGGTGCATGCATTTTCTGGAAAGCTGTTTCCTGGATTATTGATGCATGCCCAGGTAGATACACAGATACTTAAAAAATACTACCTAATTGCTGTAGTCAGATTGCACAACCATGATTTGTAGCAATTCTAACACAAGAGTGATCGGATGTATGATAAAGACATACTACATTTGCTGGTCAGTAAAAGTACAGACTGCACATTATTGCTAGCAAGGCAATGTGTGTGGTATGATTTTCTTGAGAGCTGTTTTCAAAGTGTGCCTTTCCATGTCATCTTGGTTTCTTTAGTGAGTTTGCTGGTAAAGTTTTTTTAAAATAAGCAATTTTTCATTTCCTAATTTTATATTCAGGTAAGAATTGTACTGGTGGCTACTGTGTGCTGGGCACTTTCATTTATTATTGCTCCAGTAAGTTAGAAACTCCTTTGCCCCTTTGAGCAGTAAGAAAATGGGGAATCTGAAAGGTTTAGAAACTTATCTCTATTAGACTCTCTCTACACATGGTATAACGTAAGTGGTTACCTAATTGCATGAATTGCCTAATACTTGGATGTAGGTAATGTATCAAAAATAAAAGGAGACTGAAAAAATTTTTTTAAATAAAAGGAAGTAGACCCCTAGGAAGGAAAGGAGGGGAGTTGAGACAGAATAATGAATATTTAAGAATAAATTTAGCAGGTTTGATAAGTAGAACATCACTTTTGTGGGCAGATCTGGTTCCAATACACTGAATGTGTTGGTCCTGTCAGATTTGTTGAATGAAAATGCAAATAGTCCAATCAAGTGTAATAATACTCATGAAGGGAAAAGGAATACAATTTGAAAGTTTTTACGAAGACATGCACTGCCTAATCTGTGAATTGAAAGCATCTTTTAAAAATTTGCTTCCCTTCATATTCTTAGGTGGTAGTGAATATGTGGGTAGAAAAATGAGTGCATTTCAAATAATGCTAATGAAGTTAAATGATTGCAATCTACCATATTGTGAAGAAAAGTTGTGAGCTGTGAAAGACGGGGACAGAATTAAAATATTACCATGACTAGCATTTGATTTGAATACTGCAAAGATAAGCTTAGGTTCCTACTTATGAAAACCATCCTCACAGCCTGATGAAATATCTTTTAAAAGGTTCTCTAGTTACCATGGCTACTTGTTAGCTTTGATCGGGTAAGTTACAATCTATAGTCAATCATCTGAGGTGAAGTAGGCAAAAAAAACATACCAACTAATACCAAAAGTAGCTTCACTTCTAAATTCATACTGGTTTGGAAATGGAAAGGATAAATAGCCTGAAGATTGGATTTTTGTTCAATTATCACTGCTTGAAAAGCAAAATATTTAGGATGCACATTGCCTGAATTTGCTCCTAATGTTTACTCTTTATGTGTAAGTTTTTCTTTTAAGGGAATTTCTCAGGTTTTGACATAGGAATTTAGATGGCGAGACCTTTCTGAAAACTGTGGAAACCTTAGCAGCACACTGAGTTTCTGAAAGCCAGAGGGACACAGATAGTATCGAAGGCATTGGTCCCTATGGTAACATATTTGCATTTGGCCCAGAAGTGGCTGGTTTCTGCTTAGCTTCTTTTAATTGCTATATATTGACAGCCGTTTTCACGACTATTTATAAAATGTCAGAGTAATGAGCCTGCGTACAGGGAGTGCGCACCTTGTCCGTGGACTTGATTAGACGCCTCAGATGACAGAGCTGCGCAAAGTCGCCGACGTGTTGTTGGCATCCCCTTGTGTGTCTGTCACGTCATGGAGGCAAAAAGCCTGTCAGATGATTTAAATATTTTCCTCAATTCTCTTTTAAAACAGGTGACAAAAGAGCTAAAACAGTATGACAACAAAATTATAGAATGCAAATTTGAGAACAACAGCTGGGTCTTTATGAGACAGAGAACAGACAAAAGTTTTCCTAATGCCTACAACACTGCCATGGGTGAGTATGACAGCCTCCCAGGGGATGTGACAGTGAAAAAAAAAAGAAAAAGAAAAAATTAAGGTGTTAGAACCAAAACGTGCTGTCTTTCGTTGCTCAGCTTGCAGGGCAGAATCACCCAACCCCCGTCCTCTCTGGCCCGGCCAGGGCTTGTGTCAGGTCTGGGCCCTGTTTGGCTTCAGTCCTCTCTTGACCTGGGCGCCCAGGAGGGGAGCTTGGAGGGCAGGAGAATGGGCCAAAGGCAAGTTGAATTTGTTGAGCAACAACAATAAAAGCCATGATAATTTCAGATCTATTCAAAACTATAAAAACCATTGTTTGACAGATGGTAAAAGACAAAATTAGCAGGGGAAAATGTAATTTCCAGCTCCTAAAATAGCTTTACAAACAGTGGAGAACAAAGTAAATGAAAACCTTAAAAAAAAAAAAAAAAGCAAACCCTAAACCCCGCTATGCTTCATGGTGTGCTTTGCGTACAAGGAATGCTTTGGGAATTGAGAAGAGGAAGTTTCTTTCATGAGGAACAACACATATTAACTAAACTTATAAGGGAAACTGCTACTAGTAACAGTTCTGGATCGCATTTATAGTGGAATTGGGGGACAAAAACTAGATAAAAACCAAGATTAAAGATTCATAGTAGTGTGTACCTTGAGTGCTTGGTCGGCGGTGATGATGATCAGATGATGATAAGAGGATATGGAAATTACCATTTTGAGTTTTGCGGCTTGAAAGTTACTATTGGACACTCAGAGTTTCTTGTTGGATAACTGACTTCTGTGTTCAAATAAGATGAGTTAATTTTGAAAGAGAACTAATTAAGCCAGTGTCTTTTTCCCCCCCAAACCAAATAAGTAAATAGAATTTTGACCACGTAAAATACTTTATTTATTAGTAGTTTTGTTATAATGCCTTTGAACAGGTTATTAAAATAAAAACTAAGATTCTTTGCCAGCTACAGCGAAGCCTGCCCTTCCAGGGGGATGGTGGCCAGTGCTGTGTCGCACGCGTCACAGTCTGCTGTTCTCTCGCAGAGGAAGGCTGAGGGGCTAGGGTGCATGTCTTCTTTAGAAATCGTGGTTGGACATGGAGCATAATGTGATGCTCTGTGCTGAATTAATACCCTGTGAAAACTGTTGTGGTGGGATAAAAACCAGAGTGAAGCCATGCTCAGTGCATGCAGAGTGAAAACCCAAATGCTTAAAGTTTTGGTCTAGAGTTAATAGTGAAGGATGGCCACTCACGTCGGGGTGGGGGAGGCTTAATCCCAAACAACTCAGGGAAGGTGGGAGTGTTTAGTGTGTTGGGAGGGAGACCTCTCCCCATCGTCTTCTCCCTGAGGTGAATCAGCTCCCTTAAGGAAGCCTCCTCACTTGAGACGCCTGTCTCCTTTTGTCCAGCTGTGTGCAACAGTATCTCAAACCCTGTCACCAAGGAGATCCTGTTTGAGTTCATCGACAGATGTGCGGCAGCTTCTCAAGGACAGAAGCGCAGACATCATCTGGACCCGGACACGGAGCTCATGCCTCCACCACCTCCCAAAAGACCTCGCCCTTTGACCTAAGACCCGCCTCTGACTTCAGGACTGAGAGGAAAGATGAGTGAGGAAGAATACAGTTGCCCCATTTTTTGGCAACCAGAGAAATTCAAAAAAGAATGCAGCTTAATGTTGATACACACTTGACTTTTTTTTTAAAAAAAAAAGAAAAGTATTGTAGCCAGCCTGTAAATATTTGATGCATTTGTTTCCTCAGTGCTACAGTACGTCATGGACTTAAACATTTTATTTATATCTGATAAACTCAGCCTTACCTTGTGGAATCTGAAGATTGAAATATCCAAAGGTTTAAACAAATGAGATCGAAATCAATGAAAAAGAGGCCTTGTTTATATATGGGTAACTTCCGCTTTAATTTATAAATTTAGCAATCTGGAACTGTGAGCACATAGAACACTGTCTTTTTTAGAAGTTATCTTTCAACTATGGTAGATTTTCCTTTTACAAAATTTAGGCAATGGCATTAAACATTCTTGCTGTCATCTAACATGGATTTTTCCTACATTTCTGAAATTCTTGTATTCAAAAACAAGTATCAAGGTTGTTAAATATTGTACTATACTAAACAGCTTGGTCTGGCTTATATCATTTTAAGAAGTTTTTTTTTTTTTGGAAATGTAAAAGCAAAAAAGCAAAGCTCCATTTTTGTGAATTTCATCCTTTCTAAAGAAAGTATGTTGAGTGTTTTCATCTGTTTCTGTTGTTTGAGCTACAGTATCAGGTAGCCAGTGTGTCCACTCTGGCAGTGGTCTCGAGTTACTTCATGGGACTTACAGGTACACTGCCCAGTCCTGTTATTGGTTGTTCTCCCAGAAGACTTTTTTTTTCCCCAGTGCCAGGGCTACTTCTGCTTTACCTCAGTGGTATCAGCACATTGTCAATTACATTGAAACACACAGCTCACTGTGATTATGGGAGTGATACCAAATACACACAGTGTTGTATTAGTTCCCTTGCACAAAACAGCAAAGGAAATGCCAACTGACTCCTTTGATTAGAAGGTAATGTCAACGCAAGAGAATGCTGTCACCAGAAAATGCTCTCCCACTGCTAGATAAATGCAGAGGCAAAGACTAGACATCTGTAGGAACTGAACATCAAGGAAGCCAAGACATTCATTTTCAAAGCCAGAATTCTATCATATTCTATTCTGGGAATGCTATTTCTGTTGTACATCTGAATTTTAAAACGTTTACTGATAGATAATGGATTTAAAGAGCAGCTAATTGGTCATAAGCCATTGTCGAGAAACCGTGTTCTGATTGGTTTGAGAAGGAACTCTGAGAATTAGCCTACTAGAGGCTAACGTATTTATTTTTAGAGGTACAGGTTTTAAGTGTGTGTATTTAAAACAAATTTTCATGATCTGAATTTTATATGTATATGCATATACATGTGAGTATATGCAACAGTGTATATTCTTCTACTAATAGACATGAAAATCCAACGAGTCACCTGGTAGACTGGATATCTGATAGGATTTCTATCTGAAATAGCACAGATTAACCAAAAATGTATTTATATGCACCTGAGTTTTTGTGTTTTTAAGCAAAATTTTCTCCTGCAGTGCTTTTCTAGATGAAATACTAGAGTCCTGCTCGGGCTTCTTTCTTTATTGGTCCCAGGTTCTGGAATGTACAGTGGATTTATTCAAAAGGCCATTTTAGCATTTCTTTCGTAGAGTACTTTTGTGGGTGTGAGTGCTACAGGGATTAAAGCATCTGATTGCCACAGTGGCTGTTGAAAGACAGAAATTGGTAAGGCTTCATGGTGTCTTGTACAGAGTGGATCTAAAAAAATGCCTATGCAACTCCAAATAGCCTGATGCCTGCGCCACTGAGATTAGCGGCTCTTTTCACGCAGTCCGGTGCTTTCTTCCGAGCCTGTGTAATGCAGAAGCCTTTTGCAGATGTAACAGCAAGCTTTTGTCCATGATCTTTAATGGAGTTAAAATGTTTATGGTAATTGTAACCTTTTAAATGAGTTTCATGAAAAGAGCATCTCATTTTTAATACACCCAGATATTTTCTCCTTGCCTTTGTGCATTTTCCGGGACTTAATTTTCTTGATTTATCTTTTCCCTTTCAATTGTAGCGAAGGATAATAAGTAGATGCTATCTAGCCCCTGGACACATTACCATCTGTGTTATCATAAAAAGTCATCCAGAAAGTCAGGGGGTTGGAAATCTCGAGGTGGGATTTGGAAGATCATGAAGGAAACACTTCCTTTCTCAGCCCACTTCATAATAACTATTTTCTGACACTGAAGTTCTGTAGATGAGAATAAGAAAAGTTTACTTTCCTGAGTTATCACGTATAAAAGCTCTGCCTTGTGTTTGGAAAAGACGTGGCTGATTCGACTGCCTGGATGGTTACATTTGCTTTCCATGAATTGCCCGGAAAATGTCAGGACATTCCTTCTCTAATTGTGTGTCAGTGCGCATTGTAATAAAACTACCGATTTAAAATAACAAAGTGTATCTGCTTTGTTTTACTGGTGATGCCTTTGTGTCCCTTTTATCGCTGGCATCAGATCCCACTGCTGTCAGCTGAACCCATCAAAATCCATCTGGCTTTGTTGCATTCTAGAGCTTATCATAAAGATTTGGAAAATCCTGTTTTTCTAACCGGGAAACCAAGAAATTTTAAAGTTAAGAATCAAATACTTCCAGGCAGGGAAACTAAGGTGGGGGAGAAAACCCTGGGCTAGTCCCGAGTCTAAGCTCTACCTCCTGTTGGTTCTCTGTCCTTTTCTAGAACTCCTTTCTCCCCTCCTCCATCTATAAAATGCCAGGATTGGGCCAGATGATCAAAAAGAATCTTCTCAGGTCTGACGAGATTCTTGTGTAAAAGCCAGTGCTTTGTGAATATCGTGTGTTCATAGTAATAGCAACAGTACCATTACTGACTGTTCACCAAACACCAAGACTGTCCTGAACACAACCGCTCTGTGCAGGTGGGTGCCATCATTAACATCATTTTGGAGTTAAGGAAGCTCTGACCCAGGGTAACACAGCTAGTTAGTTGTGAGCTGAGATCCAAACACAGGTCTTTCCGACTCCAACGCCTAAATTAAGTACTCGCTGAAAGGCTCTGTTTGGGTCCCTGTTGGGGGGCTGATACTGTGTGAGGGCCCAGACTATTTAAGTTGTTTCTTTGATGCTAACAGATAATAGGCTTCAAGCACCTCTCTCCAAAATAAGATGAAGGTGGGAGCAGGAAAGTAAATTCATTTTTAGGATCTTGTTTAACTAGTTATTTAACAGTATTTAAATGTGAGTGACACAGAGGCCACGAAAAGAAGTTTAATTCTCACTAAGATGCTAAATTCCAAAGATGCAATTAGGAAGAAATAAGTGATTGAATCACACACTGGGCCACCATTTCCTGATTGTCGCATAGTTAGCTGTCAACTCAGATGCAGGTCGGTGTCAGCCTTGGTTACCCCAGATGTGCCCCTACCCTCCCTGGACTCGGCTCTCAGGTGACCCCCGTGCCTGCCGAGCAAGGGGTGATGGAGGACACTCAAAGCAGGTGCCTCCCAGGCTTCTAAGAAGATTTCACATTTCAAAAAAGTCATTGCCGTGATCTGGGGTTGCCAGCTGTTTTGCCATGAAAGGCTGTTTCATAAAGCTACACTGCCATTGTTTCATAAAATAAAGGAAATCTTAACACTCAGAAAAAGGGCATGATTCAGAAGACATACATTTACGTAGGACAAATTTTGTTTTACGAAAGACTCACTACACTGTCCTTTGCTTCTATATTTAACCCCAAACCAGTGGAAACTTTTCCATGGACCACTGTTTGGAATCGTTGCATAGGTGAAATTCCAGACAGGGCCTTGTATGTGGGGAGAGGGGCAAGAAAATGCCTGGGGGAGGGATGAATGAGGAATCTGGGATTAATACACACTACTATATATAAAATAGATAAACAACAAGGGCTTCCTGTATAGTACAGGAAACTATTCGTTATCTTGTAATAACCTAAAATGGAAAAAATTCTGAAAAAGAATATATATATATCACTTTGCTATACACCCAAAACTAACACAACATTGTAAATCAACTATACTGCAATTAAAATAAGTAAATTCAAAGCACTAGCTATGTTCCCTGTGCTGTACAATACGTTCTTGTTGAACAAAAGAAAAAAGCAAAAAGAAAACCCTAGGGGAGAAGCAGGCCCTGGTTCCAGAGCTAAAGGCTGTTTTCATAGCCAGAGTTGACCATAGTCCAGTGACCTCACAATGGTTGATTATATTGTGCTCTTGTGATAGAACGGAATATAGGGGAACAATGAAATTACCTGAATGTTTAAAAATACCCAAATTAAGGGAAACCCTCAGCTATTTGAGGTACAAAAATAAGCACAACCAAATACAAAACAGAAAAACAGAATTTGGCTTTGGGAACAAATCAGACCATCAGAGTCACCCATCTTCACAACTTTGAAGTCACCACACAGTCTCTTTTCCCTTCAGATCGCTGCTGCCGGAATGAGATTTCAAAACTGCAGACCTGCTCCTGTAACTCCTCCAGTAAGAGCTCCCTGGCCCATGACATCAAAGGCCCTCAGTGACCCAGACTCCGCCTGTGTATCCATCCAGGTGTGGGTCTCACAGAGGTGTGACTCCTGGACATCTCAGAACTCCAGGCTCTCTGCACCCAGGGACCACTGCTCGGTGTCAGAAAGCCCCAGTCTCCCTTACTCTAAGGTGAAGGAGGCTTTCCTGCCGCAGATCTCACACTGCGTTGTGCTGGGTTCCCCTGGGCTTGGTGGGTGCAGGGACCCTGGCCCACAGCACTGGGCTTGGCAGTGGTGGGCGCTCGGTAGTCATCAGGGTGGGAGGTTCACAAGCCGTTTTTGTACTAGCTGTTGAGAGTCAAGATGTGTTTGCTCTTGTCTCCCTCCGTGTAGCTAAATAGGAGCATCCACTTTTTGTCACTTTAGCCTTTTCATCGTAACAGAAGCACTGATAACATCTCATTTCTTAAGAATTTCTTCAGTACCCATCTCTGATGCATCTTGTATTTAATCCTGATTAGAAGCATCTCGTCTGTTCTCAGCTTTTGCCTTTTGCACTGAAAGTGAGTGCTTCTGAGGGAAACTTCTCAGCAGGAAGAATCTGAAGAAAGTGCCCTGGTCTCCTGGCTGTGATACACTCTGAGGGAGGTGTGAGGAGAGCAGCGTCTTTTTTTTTTCAAACTGATGTACAGTCAGTTACAATGTGTCAATTTCCGGTGAGCTGCACAATGTCCCAGTCATGCATATGCATACATATATTCATTCATATTCTTTTTCATTGAAGGTTATTACAAGATATTGAACAGGGTTCCCTGTGCTATACAGAAGAAAGTTTTTTAAAATCTATTTTCATATGTCCTTAATCACGTCTTACTTTTTCGTGCAGTTTCACCGAGCTTGCCACATCTTACACTGGAAGTCTCCTTCCCCGTCCCCACCTACTCCCACTCAACTTCTGATGTTTTCAAAGGGAAGTCCTTTGGTAACAGCCAAGGCTTTTCAGCCATGGCTAGAATTCTAGCCATGTCTCCAAGAGTGGAAAGGGAAGTGAAAGATATTATTCTTGTTGCTACGATCGAATGCTATCTTCCAGGATCTAAAAGAATACGAAACTTGATAGTTTCTGTAGAAGTTCTGCTCCCCCTCTGAAGGCCATCAGGGGAGTTGTATCATTTTGATCCACAGTATAAACTCACGGTGTGCTCTGATGCACCCCCAAGATGAAGGCTGCAGAGACCCGAGCTGAGCACCACAACCAAAACTTTCCTATAAAATCTGTTCTTGAAAATTCTGCCTGTAGGTAGAAACTGTACACCTGGAAACATCACATACAATTGGGATGATGCAGGAGATGGGAGGTGGTCCAGGCCTTGCTGGGTGGGTGGGATGAATAGGGGAGGGGAGGCGGGTAGACAACACAGGGAAGGGTGCTTTCTAAGGGTGCACCATGGTGGTTCCTTCCTTCCTAAGCTAACCAGCCACCCACCCCATCCCTGGTCCCCTGATCGCCTTCCAGCTCCCGACCCATTTCTCTGTTCCCCTTTCCTGCAGAATTCCTAGGAGGAGGTGATTGTACTTGCTCGCTCCACATCCTTTCTGTCTAGTCTCTTGAACCCACTGCATGCAGGTTCTCGTGTTCACTGGGACTGCTCCTGTCACTACCACGGGTGCCCTCTACAGGGTCCAGTCCGCTCTCCTAACTGACTTAGCAGTACTGTCAGCATCTCGCACAGTGTGTCTCACCCCCTGTTTTACTTTGATTTGTTTACTTCTTTTTAATGGGATATTTCAAACATATACAAAAATAAGGAAAATGGTAAAAATGAATTCCTACCTACCCAGATTCAACGGTGGTTGATCTGTGGCAATTCCTGTTTATGCACCAGCTACCTCCCACCTTCCTTTGCACGCGTGTGTGTACACACACTTGCACAGATGCACACACAGACATGATTATTTTTAAACAAATCACAAGCTGCACTCTTGCTTGTTGAACCCTTTCTGCTCTTGGTTTCCAGGTCACTGTGGTCTCTTGGTTTTCCTTCCTCCTCCCTTTTGGTCTCCCTTGCTGAGCCCTCTTTACCTTCTCAACCTCTCCATGCTGTAGGACCCAGGCTCAGTCTGCTGGCCTCCATCTGTGCTCTCTGAGAGATCTCTCCTAACCTCTGAACGCTGATACCATCCACACAATTTCCACATTTATTTCTAGCCTGGATCTCTCATGAATTCTAAACTCAGATATTCAACTGACAACTTGACGTCTCCAGTTGGATGTCTGATAGTCACCTAAACTGAATATACCCCAGTCTGAACCTTCTCCAGACTTCCTACTCTCCCCACAGTCTTCTTAGAGAGCTTTGTTAATGACAATCGCATTTTTCCAGTTGCTTCAGAATCTTTCTTTTCTTCCTCTGACACTTCACATCCAATCCATCAGCAAACGCCGGCGGCACGACCTCCCAACTGGAACCAGGATTTGACAACTTCTCAACCTCTCCAAGCCTCTCATCTCCTCTCCAGCCAAGATTGTCTCAATAGCCTCCTGACTGGTGTCCCGGTCTTCACTCTCCCTCGAGCCCTCCTCGAGCTGTTCTCCCCACAGCTGTCTGTAGGATTTTTTAGAACATCACTAACTACTCAAAACCTTCCAGTGCCTTCCACCTCACTCAGAATTAGCACTTTTCTTTCTCTTTTTTTTATTGAAGAATAGTTGATTTACAATGTTGTGTTAATTTCTGGTATATAGCATAGTGATTCAGTTATACATATATATATATTTTTTTCCTTTTCATATTCTTTTTCATTATAGGCTATTGCAAGGTATTGAATACAGTTCCCTGTGCTATACAGTAGGTCCTTGTTGGTTGTCTATTTTATATAGAGTAGTTAGTATCTGCAAGTCCCAAATCCCTCCCCACACCTTCCCCCCCGGTAACTCGTG